CCCCCCCCCCCCCCTAGGGGATTGCTTCGAGGAAAAGTCGTTCTACAGAGACCCTAATTGTGGGAACTAACTATGATTACAAAATATGATATGCCCATAAGTGAATAGCTTATGACCTCCCGGAGGTCGGGAATTGGATCTGAGAGGGGTGAAAACCGTGTTTAGTGCATAATTATGGGAGGAAAACTGTCACTATATCTTTTGCTTTGAGATGTGGCTAACCGAGCCAGTGCAATCAATTCCCACCTAGCTAAGCGACTACGAGATCATCCACTCACCGGCAGCGAAAGACGAAGACAGGAACACTGGATATGCCAAGGGAGTAATCATGATCGCACTAAACAAAAATATCTATAAGTACCAAATTATGTTGACCACCTGCGAGCTCATTCTCATAACATTTTTTTTTTTCGTTACAGCATACTGTTTTCACTGAGAGGCCGATAGCTCTGTCGTTACCTTCTCTGCAGGATGCGCTAGCAATAGTGCAGAATAGAGTCCCTTTAATTTCTAGCTTCATCCTAGGTGACTTCAACGCCCAGGTGGGACAGAGTACCGCAGCGGAAGACTGTTTAACTATCGATTGTGGTAGCGTATATTACCCGACTCTAATAGGCGAGGTGAGGAGTTTAGAGACTTTGTAACAGATGAGGGGTTGATTACTCCCAATGTGCGTTACCCTGGCGACAGATCGGGTCACATAACTTTTTTCGGGCGAAACAAAACCTTTAACACCATAGACTTTGACGTCGTAGATTGGTACTCTCTCCCACTAGTTGAAGACTTTCTTATACTTGACCTCCCCTCAAACTCAGATCTCATGCCGATAGCCATCGTTACGAACATTACAATCCAAAAAGAGCATGGCAGCGGAACAGACTCTCCTGTGGTAAAATTGAAATGGGATAATAAGTTGCTCGCGGAATATCAATCAATAATGCTTTATTCCCCAGAAATCGGGTCCGTCAGTAACTGTGCAAACAAATTGAACAAGACTTTGATATCAACAATTCACAAGAGCGCCGGCGAGGCTGGTATGTTCCAAAGAACTCAAAGAGATAAACCCGCTTTTAAAAAGCCATGGTACAACGAACGATGTAGAGTACAAAAAAAACAGAATAAGAACAGCAATAAGAAAATGTAAGAAAAATCGCGTTCAACTCAAAGAAGACTTAGAACGCCTAAGCTTAGAGAAAGCGAACTATAGAACAACAAAAAAAGAAGCGGAAGAAAAATATCGATCAAAAATTACAGAATTGATGAAT